TCATCGTCTTTTTCACCAGTAGAAACAGACGGTTGTTGATCACGTGACTCCTGGGATGTGAAAAAAGTGTTTCCATTGCAGTTTTGTGAAAAACATCGATTTTGATACGACTGAAAAACCACCTCATCCTCGCGCAAAAATATTTTTGTTGAAAAACGTAATTTTTTCGAAACTGACGTGTTTCCATTGAGCAAATGTACTTTTGAAATTCTAGTTTGCACATTTTCATGGTCAATAGAAACACAGCTACAGACAGCAGGGAATCTTCTGATGTATTTTTAGATAATTTTAGTTCCTATAAGAGAGATGAAGAAAAGTCAGAGTTCAAATAAGATTGTTTTAATAAACTAAGACCAGTTTTCTTTCTTGAAGTGTTCCCCTTTGATGTCACTTCCTGTTTCACTTTAGCTGAGCCAAATTCAAAGGAAAAGATGTCAGTTATGTGACAAAATGGGTTAAATCCTGTGTTTTAGGACAACTTCCCTAAATATGAAGATATTTTCTTTGATTTTTTGTATTTAAAGGATAGTCAGACTCTTTAAAATTATTTCCAAACACGTTTCTTTACGTCCCGTTTATCCTGTTCCAGGGTTTCTCTGGGTTCATCCCAACCTCTCGTGTCATGAGTTTAAATTAAATCAAACACAGATTATAAATAATCTGAGCTGTTTGAACAGAGAGGGTTCTGGATGAGAAGCAGAAGAGGTCCAGTTCATTGGTTCTGTCAAAGCCTTTGTGTTCTGGTTCTAAAGGTGTCGGTTTCAGTGATGGTTACCTGTTGGAACACGAGCAGCGTCTAATTAAAAAGTAATGTGACAAATCCAGCTCACACACCTTAAACTCAGGTGTTACCTTCCACTCCCTGCAGAACCTGGTACCACCGAACTCCTGAACCCAATCTGTTGCTCATTTTTAACCACGTCAGATGTTTTATGACGTCACAAACATGTGAATATTTCGTTGTTTTGTTTGTCTTTAGATGTTTACAGTTAGGTTCTCCTGAAGAGCACCTACCAAGATGGCGGCTAACATTCTCACCTTGTTAGCTTAGCGGTTGTATTGTTGTTGCCCATTCCTCAGAACAGGTAGGGGGAGGGGTCCTTACTGAACCACCTCAGCTGGCCGGAGCGAGCCCACCACCTGCAGGAGGGCTTATGTGAGTCAGTGTGGCGTGATGTTGGGGGGCAGCTGAAGTCGGGGGGCCTTGGCGCTCTGACCCCAGCTAACTGAAGCTAGCTCTTAGCACATGTAATGTGTTTTTCTGTCTTAGTGAAATAATTTACGGATAAATTTGACCCATCATATCAAAATGAGGATTAAATCAAATTTGGTCAAAATTATCTAATTACATTTTCAGATTCTTGTCTTTAAAAGCTACATTTTGATACCTGGATCATCCTGATATCATAAACTAATCCAGAGAAATTACTTCATTTGTCTTGTTGGTTATGATAATATGTGAGCCGTCACATCGAAACGAGGATTAAGTCAAAAAGTGATGTATGGAGAAACAGGCAATATAATGTTTTGACTAAAATGTTAACAAAAATTGCATTTTGTCCAAATATAATGAATAAAAGCCTTATTAATGTATCATTTAAATGAACTGCCTGAAATATAATCATAAAACTAAAAATTGAAGCACTTTTTTGAGCAGTAGCAACAAAAAACTGATTTTGAGAAAAACACCTTAAAATGTTGAGATTTTCCCTGTGAGTTAGTAAAGTTTTGTTTCTTTTTATCTGGTAAATCTCAATATTCAAATATAATCTGAGGTTTCCTCTTTATAAGGACATCAAAATTTCCTCATTAAAATGTCATAAAATTAGGATTCAGACCAAATATTTATGTATTATTGTAACCAACAAGACAAATTAAGTCATATATATGGATTTACTTATGATATCAGGATGATCCAGGTATCAAAATGTAGCTTTTAAAGACAAGAATCTGAAAATGTAATTAGGTCATTTTGACCTAATTTGATTTAATCCTCATTTCGATATGATGGGTCACATTTATTACTGTTTGGTCTGAATCCTAACTTTATACACATTTATTGAGTCATTTTTTATGTCAATATAAAGAGGAAACCTCAAATATTATTTAATTCACGGCTACTTTGGGATTAATCAGATTAAAAATATAAATCATTTGACAGCCATAATTCTGACAAAATGCAATTTTTGCACACGTTTAAATCTAAACCCTTATATCTGCTTATTTCTCCACTTTTGGACTTAATCCTGGTTCTGATGAGACGGGTCAAAAATAAGTGAAATGTTTGAAGTTAACTACAGGATTATTTATGCTGAACTTGTCTTTAAAGTGATCACTGTGTGGAGGGGTCTTTACTGCCCCACCCCTTCACTACAGCCTCAACCATGTGAGGATGGAGGGTCTACAGGTGAACCCCACCAGGTGAGTGTCTTTACAAGCTGAAGATGTCTCCCAGCTCTCGGACCGACAGGCTGATGGTTCCCGACAGCTGCAGCTCGTCCTTCAGGAAGCGGCCCACCTGCTCCGAGAACAGGACGTCACAGAACACCCAGATCTCCGCCCGCTCCCTCTGGATGTTGGCGTTACACGACGGCAGCCTGGAGCTCCGGATGGAGCGGCTCAGAGAGCGCCACACCTGGGGGGGAGGAGCCACAGGTGAGGAGCGATGGGTGAAAAACTGAGGGGTTTATTTTCTAACTCGTCACAGTTCCTTAGGTGCAGTCCAGAACTGAACACTGCTCTGAACTGGTTTAAATCTTAGTTAAGTGATTGGTTCTTCTGTGTTTCAATTGGTAACAGTTCTTCTGAAGTGGCGTTCCTCAGAGTTCCATTCTTGGCCCACTGCTATTTTATTTTACATGCTGCCTCTGGGTCAAATTATTCGCAAATATAATGTCTCTTTTTATTTTTATGCAGATGAAGCCCAGATTTATTTATCTACTGATCTTCAGATCTGTCGGCTCTAAACATCCTAAATTCTTGTCTCACTGATATTAAGGTCTGGATGTCCGATAATTATTTATTGTTAAACAATAATAAAACTGAGGTGATGGTTTTGGGCCCTAAGGCTCATAGAGACCCTATAATTAAAGTTCTTAATTCTTCAGGTTTTAATTAAAGGTTTTAAAAAAAAACCTCAAACGCCTACAATTAGTACAAAACACAGCAGCTAGAGTCCTCAGTAAATCCCAGAAGTATGATCACTCCTGTTCTGGCTTCTCTACACTGGTGACCTGTGGTTTTCAGGATTGATTTAAGATTTCATTGATAGTTTTTAAATCACTGAATAAACTTGCACCGTCTTATATTTCAGAATTACACCAGTGTGACCTCTGAGCTCATCGGATCAGTCAGTACTTATAGTACCAGAGTCAGACCAAACACAGATGGTTTCTGTTGGGGCTCCTGTTAGTGCACTGCCACTTTATATCAGACAAACTTCTTCATTGTCCTCTTTTAAATCTTTTTAAAACATTTTATTAGGATTTGGCTTTTAATTGTTGACCTTTGTATGTTTTATTTTTATTTTGTGCTATGTTATTACGTGTTTTGTTTCTATTATGATGTAAAGCACTTTGTAACTGAGCTTTGAAAGGTGCTATACAAATAAATGTATTATTATTATTATTATTATAATAACACACGTATTGTTTACAGTCATCTGTAGAAAGACGAGCTCTGACCTCAGCGCAGGTAATCTGCTGAGCTGTGCAGGTAAAACCACTGAAGTCAGAAAAAAATGAGCTGAAGGATGGAGGCTGAGATAAACATCCTTCATCCCAGCAGAAAAACATCAAACTCAAGTCAGTTTTAAAGTCTGCAGGTGGATCACACACCTGTCCTGTTCTCTGTTTTACCTGCAGCAACACGTCTGACGTTCTGCATCAGTGCAACTAAACATTAAGTACATGCAGCTTCTGCACTGTAATCATACTGTTTAACAGTTTCACTCACTTTTACAAATAAGATTTGGAAAGTTTGTCTCTTTGTCTTTGAGGCTGTCAAACACGTCTCTGAAGACAGTCAGGGGAGCAGCGAGGCGCTCTCTGAGCCTCTGACTCAGACGTCAACATTAGGTAGTGCTGGGTGTAGGGTGTGTGGTAAACTGTATGTGGTAGAGGTAGAAACGGTATGAAGTTGGCCTGTGGTAGAAATTTACCCTCTACTGTCCTGTCGTCATTACGTCATCACACCTGTGTCAGCAGGGCTGGGAGTGCAGACACACCTGAGCAGGAGGAGTTTGAAATTAAATGAAGAACTTCTAGTGTTTTAAAACGCATAAAGAGAATAAATCTTCAAAGTTTCCCCCTCCCGCTTTAGAAAAGTTGTTTCTTCCTCCTGCTGCTCGTCACGCTGAGTGAAGCTTTAATAACAAGGTTTTACACACTCCCACCACAGACATGATAAAAAGACGTGGACGTTCCTTCAGTCATAAATCCATCTTGTAAAATCGGCTTCTGCTCTGATGATGAAGATGATGAAGATGAGCCCGCAGCAGAGCAGCAGCTCATTGTTTGTCAGGCTGATATTAAAGCAAAAATGCTGGGATTGATTATGATTACAGCTCTCTGCAAAAAAAAATGCTCTAAAAATTTAATTATCTTTACTTTTTATGATAGTTTTCTACTGCGATATATATCGTTACCATGAAGGGGCTCAATTTATACCCTGATATGATTTGAGGTCACAGCTCCCAGCCCTAGTTGGGCGATAAATCGATTTAAATGATTCATTTGAATTTGTCATTTATAAAGATTTAATTCAGGGAAAATAGAGATTTCTTCCCACCAGTGCTCTCTGTGGGTCTTCTGTGGTTCAGAGGTCAGCCCACCTGCCCCTCAAGAGCTAGCAGAGAGGATCTGCTTCCCAAAAGTCACTGTTTCTTCAGTTTTCTGGAACTGGTTAGGTTTCACAACCTCAGACCGGAGCAACAAACATCTCACGGCTAAATCTGTTTGAGGCTCCTGCTACAAACATCAGGAGAACATTTAATTTGTTTCAACACCTGAAACAGAGACGCTGCGTTAAGTGAAATCAATTAAAATCTAAAATAGAATGTGGGATTAAAACAATCTGATTTTATTTTGGGTCACATGGTCCAGCCCTGACACGGAGAACAGGTAAATCTTTAACATGTTTGAGAAAATGTCGCAGATTAAGTGAAATTATCCAGTTGTTGAAAACTGACTTCATTTTGGTCAAATAAAAAAAGTTTTATTGAGACGTGACGAGGAAAAGTTCAGATTTTCAGTTTGTCCTGATGACTGAACAGACTCACCGTGTCGATGTCCCTGCAGTTGTCCCGGGTCAGGACCCACCGGGCCCTCTGGCGGAGGTGGAGCCCGTGGAGGGACACCAGGACACGGAAACGTTTGGACAGAGACTGTGTCTGAAGCAGAGCTCGTCTCTGAGTGAAGACGCTCCAGGACCGGCTGACGGGGGACGCCTCTTTCACCGTGTCAGGTTGTTGTCCCGGTGTGGGGGGGTCTCTGTCGGGGAGGAGGTTGTCTGGTGTCTCTGAGACACAGAGGGGGTCTTCAGTTTGTTCAGGCGGAGGTTCTGAACGGACTGTGAGACGATCGCTGACGTCTCTCTGGACTCTGTTTCCTGTTTGACACGTCGTCACCGTGGGGACGTCAGCCGACGTGATACGAGGAGCGGGTCTGGCAGGTCTGAGGGGCAGCCGGGGGTCTCCCGCTGAGGTGGGGAACCAGGGGGTGAAGACCGGGGGGGTCCGACAGGTGAAGGGCGCCAGGAGCTTCTCTGTTGTCTCTAACAGAGAGCTGAGCCCCTCTGCTGGTCCAGAATGATAATGCAGAACCACATCCTCCATCCAGACAGACAGACAACAGTCAGAGCACCCTCCTCTTCATCATCTTCATCATGACATCATCTTCATCATGACATCATCTTCATCATGACATCATCTTCATCATGACATCATCTTCATCATGACATCATCTTCATCATGACATCAGTCCAGTCTGCAGCACAAACCTGTGGGACCAAACATTTATATTATTTACTTTAATAAACCGAATACATTAATATTATCTGACTTTTATGAATCAGTTTACATAAATTCATTTTAGACAAATAATAAGTAAAAAAACTGACTAAACTATTTATTGACGTAAAAACAAAACAAGGAACGTTATTTATAAACATTTAACAAAAGTTATGGATCATTATCTTTAGAATTACATTTGTTTATTTAATTTAATTTAAACTGGAGCTTTTCACGTGGTGTTTTAATTATAGATTTAATGTTGACATGATAAAAAGTTCAAACAAACCAAAGCTCGTTTGATGACAGACAGAAGCTAATGTTTTTAGCTTGTTACGCGATGCTAACACGTTAAGTCTGTTACTAACGTAAAAAACAACAATGATGTTTTCTGTAAACAAGCAAAACCTAAACAAGTGTTTTAAAACTATGTTATAATAGAAACAAATATATATTTACATTTTTATGGACAACACAAACCTTCAAACCAAGAACTGCACCGAGTTGAATCGAACCGGGAGAAACTTCTCAAAAAATCTCGCGATACTTCGACGTAGGCTGACGTAACTTCCGCCTTTTTAAAATATGTAAGTTTTTTTTTTTTTTATCTGCGAGCTTTATTTATATTAAAAAAGGGACAGGAACTGTACTGAACAGAAAATATCGAGTTTTATTTTAACACTCGTTGACATAAACTAAAATAAAATATTTAAAACTGTATATAACCGGAAGTTATATCACGTGGTTTTCCCCCACAAACATCAAAACAAGACAGTTTTACAATTTAAACCAAACATTATACTACAAAATAAGAACATTTCAAATGACTAAACATAGAAACACAATATTAAATAACAAATAAAAGACAGACAATCCAAACAGTCACAATGAACAAAATGAAATGTAAACTAAGGTTTGTTTTCAGCTGCTGACCTGTTCAGACTCACAGTCTTCATCATTATGTAAAATGACCAAATCCAACCCAGACTTTTAATTTGTTGATGCCCTTTTTCAAATTACACCTTTTTACAAGATCACAAGTGCAGTCTTGAAAGTCTTAATCTTATTTTTAAGACGCTTCATCTGGTTTCTTTAGCTGAACTCACTTTAAATTTTCTTCTAAGTTTAAAATAAAGACTTTATACGTTGTTTTCTGTCAGATGATGCAGAAATCAGCAGTGAAATTTACTTCCACATGTGCTTCAGGTTCACATTTAGAATGTAGGTTTTCTTTTTTTCATGGTTTATTTACTTTATTAGATAATCTACGGCTTTTATTTTTAAATATTTACTGATGTTAGTGCAGTTTTTTATCAGTTTACCTGCTCTGGATCCTGGATCTCAGATATTAAAGTGTCTGTGACATCAAACTTTTTATAAAAAAATGCATTTTTGTAAAGGTGACACTGAGAACATACTACAAAATAATTTTCATGCAGCCGAGATGAACAGTTGTTGAGATATTTGCACATGAAGTAACAGGAAGTGATGTCAGAGGGGAATGTCTGCATGAAAACAGAGCTAAGCTAAAATGCTCAACAGCCCAGACTGTGGAGAGGAATCTGATGTTTTAGACTATTTTGAGTTGATATCAGACAGAAAAACAAAAATCAAAGTTAAAATCATGTTTCAATTTAAAAAAATAAGACCAATGAGTTCTTTTTCTTAAAAGAGTTCCCCTTTGATGTCACTTCCTTTGGAGAAACTGAGACGTTTATTTTCTAAACATGATGTCCCAGTAGCTTTCAAACCCCAAAACACATTACGGCAAAGGCTGGTTCACCCCAAAGATC